AGAGGAGAATTCACACGTAAACCCTCCCTCCTTTTCTCTTTTTTTTTTCCAGGTGCCTCGCTTTCCCCCTCCTTTTAGGAAATGCCGACTGCTGACTTAAGTAATAGGGGAAAGAGGGAGAGAATTTCTCCCTCAGGACACGGCGCCTCTGTCTCTGGTTCTCCCTTCGGTTCCCGTAAGTCGGTTCTCCCGCCCTCCTCGAACGAAGTAGGGCCGCTGGGTGCCTCTAGAGGGCGCAAGGTGTAGTTTGATAAGTGGGCTTTAAACCCCACGTGGGCTCACCTGAAGGAAACAATAGGGGCTACCTTCTGAGCGAGGGAGAAAACACACTGCTGAAATAAGCCGCTTTGAGACCGCTTTAGCTTTCCTGGCTCAATGCTAGGAAGTTCTGTGAACTGCAGTTTTGTGAGACACCTAGGGCCTGAACAGACTGCCAGAAATAATCCAGCTTGAGACCACTTTAACTGTCCTGGCTCAGTGCTAGGGAATCAAGGGAATTGTAGTTTTTTTCTGAGACATTGAGCCTTCTCTGTCAGGGAGCTCTGGTGCCACAATAAGCTACATTTCCCATGATTCCCTAGCACTGAGCCAGGACAGTTAAAGGTGGTCTGAAGCTGGATTATTTCTGGCAGTCTGTTCAGGCCCTTAGCCTCTCTTTCAGAGAGCTCTGGGGCCACAATAAGCTACAATCCCCAGAATTCCCTAGCACTGATTCAGGGCAGTTAAAGCAGTCTCAAACTGGATTGTTTCTGCAGTGTTTTTGGACCATTGTCATATAAGATCCGTCATATTACTACCTTGGCTGCCTTTAAAAAGGCAGTAAAGATGGATCTTTTCCGGCAGGCCTTCCCGGAACATCTCCCAGATCTATAAATAGTGACTCTAGCTTTATCCTTAACTGCCATGACGTAGCCCCCTGTCAAATTTTTTTGTTTTAACTGCTATATTCATGTTTTAACTCGAAATTGGTTTAATTCTGTTTTATGGGGGGGGAGGGTTGTGATTTTAACTTGTTCTTTTTAATTGATGTACGCCGCTTCGATTGCTATGCAGAGAAGCGGGATATAAATAAAATTTATTATTATTATTATTATTATTATTATTATTATTATTATTATTATTATATTTTTCCCCTCTTGTATTATCTTTTAACACCTTTTGCCTGATAAAGAAGCCAGTGGAACTTCGAAAGCTTGCATCATATATTTTGTGCACTTTGGTTGGCCTTATAAAGGTATCACTTTGGACCTTAATATACTTTGCTATATGGCCAACACAGATATCCCTGAGTATACTCCTATTCAATTTCTTACACCAATTTCTTTCTTTCAGTTAGTCGCAAAGGTGCTACAAGATCTCTCTACGTACTCCTATTCATGTTACAGCTAAATTAAAGCAAACGTGACTAAACCAAAGGTGTCCTTGCCACATGTTTTACTAGCTGCTAATTTTCATTAGGCAGTATTGTTTAAAGGAAGCTACTGTGCTTTTAATAAATGATTCATCCCCTGTTATTTGCCTCAGTTTCCAGGAGTCAATACTGAAGAAGAAGGCCACATTACCAAATTATCTTGGGTAATAGTTGTTGACAGCCGTACTTCCTTATGACAATTCATTTTTAATTAATACATTTTAATTAATACATGCCAGTAATCTTTTGATACTTTATCAGCTTCCGAGGATGACTTGCTGTGCATCAATGTTGAGTCACACTATGTGTTTGTAGCAGCATATAAAATGCGCAGGAAAGATGTACATTTTAAATATGCAATGAAATAACATATGAAGCAACCCAAATTAATTATAGCCTTTCAGACTGTGTCCAATGGATGTCACCAGATATCTAAGAATATCTCCAACTTTCATGTTTGAGGCCCTCAAAACAGAGAGCAAGTTATGTGTCACAGGTCATATAAAGTGTGAAATATTTTCTTTGTGTATATACTGACTGTAGCCTTTTTTAAAAGTAGTGATGTAGGTCCAAAACACATTGCAGAAATGATCCCAATTTGGGACCACTTTAACTGCCCTAGCTCAGTGCTAGGGAATCCTGGGAATTGTAGTTTCTTGTAGCACTAGAGCTCTCTGACAGAGAAGGCTACCGTAAATGTCTCACAAAACTACAGTTCCCAGGATTCCTTTGCACTGAGCCCTGGCAGTTAAAGGGGTCTCAAACTGGGTTATTTCTTCAGTGTGTTTTGGACCATAGATCCCTTAGCCAAATGCAGAAGGAAATATCAGTGTTAGCTGTAATATCTGGTCAGGTGGTATCCCCAAGAAGTATATAATAAAATAATTGTATTATTCAGTACTGCACTTTAAAATGTCACTGCTTCATACTTAGCCTTGACTTGGAACAAACTTAACAACAGATTTGACCATCACAAAACACAGAAACATTTCAGAGCACAATGTAGCTACCGAGAGTATATTTTTGCATCAATAGTAGCAAGGATACTATTTTGTCCAAAATACCTTAATGATACAAATATATTACTGTGCAACAAATAAACAGTTACTCAATAACTTTGGGTGAGGGAGTACCTGTCAGAGTTTGTAAGTAATTGGCTACAAATAACTAGTTAGTTATTTTAGTTAAGTACCTTTTCCAAGTATTATGGTATAATTAAACTGCATTATGATTGTAGCTCAAGGAGGGACAACACTAGTCCTTTTGCAAAATAATACACCAGCAGCCCATACACTGTGGGATGATTTATCCCATCCTTTTGTTGGATCATGGGACACCCACCAGTGGGGTGCAGCTGTAACTTTTCATTGCCTTTGTATCTGTGTCAAAGGGAAGTACAATAGATGTTAATTGATTTGGGGTGCACTCATTAGCTTAGCCATTTGATTAATTTCTGTCCTCAGTGTGGATTGTTGATAAAAAAGGAAATTATCCATCCAAACAAGTGCTTTTGTGCAGACTCCCATCTCAGTTTTTGCACTGATGGCCTTATCCATTTGATTCACTTTCCTCCTGTGAATGTGGAGCTGAAACAGCAGAATGTGCCTGCAAAAAGGTATTTTCGTGTTGCTGTTTGGATTATCATCCACCAGCAAGACTACT